AGCAGCAGAAGCCAAGAAGCAGAAGCAGAGAACGCCAGAGAGCCCAGAGAGAGTGCGGATTTGCTGGGGGCTGGAAGGCCTGCCAGCCTCCCGGCCCCTCAGCACCCCTGCCTGCCACATACCCGCTGAGCCCCAATAAAAACCTGCAAAACCACTGAGGACTCTGACTCCTCCTTTACCCGCTCTGCATGGGATCAGAAAACCTGCACTGTGGTCCAGTTCTGCCCTTACAGTGGGCCAGTGCACATTTATTTCCTCATGATGTGACACCCCAACAGTAATGAATACACCTAACATCAGATCTCAGTTTCTAAACACCATTCTCCAATAAAGGAATATAGGGTACCCTGGGGAAGCAACAAATTCTAAGACCTGAAGCAGGAAAATGCAAGATGAATTTGGAACATCTTTATAGACCAGAACATTAAGGAAGTATTGGGGTTTTTTTAAGTGTATGTGGGGTGAGGGAAGTATGTCAAAGGACTCACTCAGTTAATCAAATGTCTTTATCTAGTTATATTTGTGTTTTCTCTTTAAAAAAAGTTCATCATTTGCTAATTATAAAAATAAACTTGTTTTCATTTGGATTGTCTAGTTTCTAGGAAGGCTGGACTCTTATATTATTTTCTACTTTCATAACTTTTGTTAATTTTATTTTAAATTGGGAAGGTTCTTGTTAATTTGTTTTCTTCAAATTTTTTTTATTGTGGTAGAATATACATAACATAAAATTTACCACCTGCACCATTTAGAAGTGTACAGTTCAGTTGCAATAAGCATAGTCACATGGCTGTGCCACCATCACCACCTCCCAGCTCCAGAACTCTCTACCCTACATGCACTGCAAAACTAAAACTCTGTATCCACTAAACAATGACTCTCCACTCCTCTCCCAGCTCCTGGCAAACACAATCCTGCCTTCTCTATGATTTTGACTGCTCTAAGCATCTCATGTAACTGGACTCACACTGTATTCATCTGTTTGTAATTGACTTACTTCACTTAGTTTAATGTCTTTAAAGTTCATCCATGTTGCAACATATTGCTGGACTTCCTTCCTTTGTAAGACTACATAATTTTTTTAAATTTATATATATATATTACATCATTGTTCATTTTTGTACAATGTTTGCTTTCTCCTCTCAGGTGTAGTCCCCATAGAATTCCCACCACCGTTCACCAGTGCACCATCGCCATAGTCCCTTGTGCTCTTACCTCCCCTGCTTTGATCCCTCTCCCTTTCCCTCCCCTGCAGATTATCTCTGATGTATAGTTGCCTGTTAATTTAGGTTTTTTTAATTTATTATTTTTTTCTTGATCCCTTATTTGGTTCCTGTAGGGTAAATGATTGAATGATTGTCAGGCTTTTCGGCCCTCCCGCCATTAGATTAAATGCATGCTTGATGGCGGACACCTGGAGTAGGGTGTGGGCGTGCTTAGGTGGGTATAGCTGGGCTGAGACTGGTTTATAAGGGCAGCATCACGGAACAGAACCCCAGAGGCTGAACAAGCGAGAGACCAGAAGAGAACCAGCAGAGAAGCAGAGGCCATGAGAGAACGCCAGAGAGCCCAGAGTGAGTACTCCCCAGGGGCTGGAAGGCCTGTCAGCCTCCTGGCCCCCTGGCACCCCTGCCTGCCATGTACCTGGTAAAATAAAAAAAATTTTAAAAAAAACCTGAAAAAGTCGAGTGCTCCAGGACTCCTCCTTCACCCATCTGCTCGGATCATAGAGATCCTGCACTGTGCCTTCCTGCTGCTACAGTTCCCCTAGATTCCTCCTATAAGTGAAACCATCCGATATTTTTCTTTTTCCTTTCGATTTATTGCACTGACCATAATCCCTTCCAGCTCCACCCAAGTTGCTGCGAATAGCATGAGTTTATCCTTTTTGATTGCTGAAGACTACATAATATTTTATTATGTATATACACCATATTTTGTTTATCCATTCATCCAGTGATGCACACTGGGTAAAATTCACATTTTGCTATTGTGATTAATGCTGCTGTGAATGCTAGTGTACAAATGCCTCTTGAAGATCCTGTTTTTAATTATTTGAGAAGAGAAAGAACTGAATCACATAGTTATTCATTTTTATTTATTTAATTGAATTTATTCTGTTTTTTTTAAGAACCTCACTATTCTTTTCCCCAGCAACTGTACCATCCTGATTTTCACCAATAGAGCACAGATGAGGATCTAGACTATATTTTTCCCAAATGAGTAACCAGTTATCGAGAGACTACATTATTATATATTTATATATACTAAGGTCTGCTATCTATTTGTTGGATCCGCTCAAGAATTCTTTCTTTCAGAATATTTTGAAGCAGTTTGTAGTTCATTGCTTGCTAGATACAGACACTAAAATCTCTAATGATTTCTAGTACCCTCACATTTTCTGATTTTGCACCTGAATTATTTTCCTGCTCCTGTTCCAGTGAGCCACCCATCAAGCTTCTCCTCCAAGTGCATTGCATGATTGCAAACTGCCGCCCTTGAGCAGAAGGAGAGACAGAGCTAGAGGCCTGGGATGAAATGGGCCCCAGCACCCACAGAGTTGTCCCTGGGAAATAGAGAGGTGACTGATGGTTGATCATCTATGGAGACCCCACTTCTCTGGGGCTCAGGATGCATGGGAATCACCTTATAACCATCCTGATCAGGAGCTTCTTAGACACACAGACTTCTAAAGCTTTTCCTGGAATGTAACAATTAATGGGTTTAATCTTCAGGACAATTACAATTTGTAATTGATTTTAAAAATCGTTTAATTTATTTTTTTAAATTTATTTATTTATGCATGCATAAAGAACTGGGGTACAGGCCAGAGGTGTGAGGGGTGAGAGGATTCACCAGAGACAGAGTAGGAGTGGGCAAGCCAGGAGAGGTCTGCTGTGCATTGTGGGTATCTCCCTGGCCGGGGATCGATCTCTTGCTGCAGTGGCTACAGATAGCTTCATAGGTTGCGTCTTAACCCCTTGCGCCACTAGGGAGGCCCCTCAAGAATCATTTTAGAAATTGTGTATGGTGGGGAAGAAGGTGGTTATCTCACTGCCTCCAGCCTTCTTAACCCAGAAGTCATCATTATTATCATACTTAAATTTTTTATTTCATTTGATTTAGCCCTTGAGAGAACTTCATACTTGCTGACCCATGATTAGGTAATAAATTTATAACGTATATAAAATATGTAAATTGCTTTACAGTGCTTCGTTTCACCTTCATAAGCTTAGATTTTTATTTTTACCATATATTTTTGCTAAGATAAACACTTTTGCTATTGAGATAAATCCCTATATCCATCGTAACTAAGGCTAATTATACCAAAAGAAAAATAGAAAAATATTACCTATAGTTGCTTACTCCAAAAATCTCATCACCATAAACATCCCCCAAACTTTGTATATTCTAAAACAAAACAAAAACAAACAAAAAAAAAGTGCTGAGTTTTAATATAGGTCTAATTCTTTGTGTGTCTTCAGTAGCTGTATCCCACTTCAAAATATGTCATCAAAAATAGTCTGTTAGCAGCAAGGACAGCATTGTCTCAGCGGGCTCTCTTACACTTTATGACTACTTTTATTCCGAGCAGAGCACAATTGCTTCTTAGTAAGTTAAACTCTTAATGGAACTTCTTCCGCACTATTTAGCAAAATAACCCCACTCAGCTCTAACCCACTTCTACAAGTAATTAGAGATAAGAATGTTTTAATGCATTTCTGAATATTCTACTCTAATATGTTCTTCACCTACAAATAAGCAATTGAATCAACCCACCTTTAGGGCTGTTGAGCCCACACTTAGAAAGTCACACATTATTGTGAGGTACTTGGTTCACCTGCCAGCACTATGACAAACCTTCCTTCTACAGCACAGAAAGTGCGGCTGCTAATGGACTACCCTGACATCTCAGATCAATGGTATGTTTGTTCCCTCCTTCCTATCCCCAAAAGTTAAGAAACTTCCCTGAGCTAGAAAAGTTGCTTCAGCTATCCCCTCTGGCAATATGTTCTCTCCCTCATGGCTCCTAATTAAAGTTTGACTTGATTTTTTTCTTACTATGACTCAAGATACGTCCCCTGACTCCATTGACATGGATCACCGCCTCCTTCCTCCAGACTGTCCGCCCATTATAGTTTGCTTCATCCAAGCTCAAACCAACACTGCTAAAGGGGGCAGAAATGGTGCTGATGGACATAACTTTGAGCTCACGCGGCTCAAAGAACTAGATTAGGGTTCATTTTTAAGAACGGATATTATGTTTACCTTTCATTATTCCAGAAAGAAGGAAACTCAAAATACTTCTCAAACAATAGGTATACTCCAGGGTTGGCAGCAAAAATGGGACCTATAAAAAGTTATAGAGCTAGATTTGTGTCATTTTCATTTTTTTGATCCAAGGGGGAGATTTGCATTAGATCTATCATTAGGTTGCTTGCTAACCAGAATGCCTAGGCTTCTTTTATTATTTCATTTAGGATCATGGATATATTCCTATGAGAGGCTTGGAGAAGTTCTGCTCAAAGTGTGGTTCACAATCTGGCTCTGGTCTGAGATGAGACTAGCACTGAAGTTGAAAGACATTGCTGGAGGCTCCCTGGTGGCTCAGGGGTTAAAGTCTCAGCACTGTCAAGCTAAAACCAGCCACTGCAACTTGAGTTCAATCCCTGCCCAGGGAGTTAATCCACATGGCAAGCAGACTTCTCCTGTCTCGCCTGCTGCTCCCCTCAGCAGTATATTTCAGTAGATCTGCCTGCTCTGCTCCTCACTCTGTCTCTGGTGAATCCTCTCACCCCCCACACCTCTGGCCTGCACCCCAGTTCTTGCATGCATATATAAATAAATCTTATAAAAAGGAAAGACAATACTGATAGCCCCTATTGGCAAAGGTATGAAACTCTCATTCTTTACTGGTGGGAATGAAAAATGGTACAGTCACTTTGGTACAGACACAGTATAGCAGTCTCTTATAAAAATAAGAAGCTTATCACGCTTACCATGTGACACAGCAATCCTACTCTGGAGAAGATACTGGAGAGAAATAGCACCATATGCCCACACAAGGATGTCCCTGAGAAACATTATTCACCGTAGTCAGAAACTGGAAACAAGACAAAATCTGCCAGTAAATGAAGAAACAAATTGTGAGATAGTCATATTATGGAATATTATAAAATGAGAAAAAGGACTGAAATCATATGTACAACTACATGGATAAGTACCAAAAATAGTGTACATTTTTTTAAAGTCAAATACAGAAGACAATATGCTGTATATTTTAATTTATGTGAAATTTATGTAAAACTATAGTGACAGAAGGTAACTGGTGATTTTCTGGGGCTAGAGATGAGGGTAGAGGAAACTATAGTAAAGAGACAAGAGGGAACTTTTTTTTTTTATAGAGGCACGTTTTATTTATTTATTTGTTTGTTTGTTTTGTTTATACATGCACTGGGTACAGTCAGAAGCGCGGGAGGGTGAGAGAATTCACCAGAGCCAGAGCGGGGAGCAGAGCAGGCTGAAGGACCGAAGTACACTGCTGAGGGGAGCAGCGGGCGGCAGGAGAGGTCTGCGCGCCATATGGGACCCTCCTCTGGTAGCCGGGGAACAGCCGGGGATCGAACCGGCGCTGCAGAGACCGCGGGCAGCTTCGCAACCCAGCGCTCAACTGCTGCACCACCAGCGAGGCCCAAGAGGGAAATTTTTAAGCGGTGGTGGTGGAAATGTTTCTGTTTGATTTTGAGAGAAATTAAATGACTACACACTTATCAAAATTCACTTAAAATAAGTGAATTTTATTGTATATAAATTATACCTCAATAAAATAAAAGAAAGGAAAGGAGGGAGAAAAAGATAAGGGCAAGAATATGAATTTTCCATTCTGAAATTAAATGAAATGCTGAAGAAATGAAATTTCACTCAGCTGCAAGAAAGGAAACAATTTGAGTCACAACCAATAAGCCTGAAGTGGAAGTGTTTCTATTTTGTTAGTTTCAATGAGTTCTGAGAGTCCTTTGCAACCTGGGTGCAGGGGAATGAGACAAATACTCACAATTCAGTCTTGCTATATCATGTCAGCCACAGAATCAGAAATTGCATTACTATATATCCAAATCTGTACAACCACCTGTCACATAGCCTTCAGATCCAGCCTTCAGAGTGTGATTCATTTGTCTCTAAAAACAAAACGCCATTCTTATTATATCATTTATTTTGTGTTTTCCTTTTTACCAGCACCTCCAAGAACAGCCTCAACAATTTGATGTTTACATCAATGAATCAAGGCTGTTTCCATAGCAACACATCTAATTCTCAAGAACCGCAATTTTATGTCAATTTATGATTAATGGCAGACAAGACAAAAGAAAGCAGACAGAGCAGAGAAACGTTAGTGCCTGAGTCTGACAAGCAGAATAAGGAGGAAGGGAAGAAAATATGTCATTTGCTTGGCCATGATGTTATTTAGCAGTTAACCATCGTTATTTAAGCTTGTATAATGATTTCTTAGGCCCATAGAGTAGTTGAGCTAAAATGACCTTAAAAGCCCCTGAAACCCTTTATTTTAAAGTCAAGGTAACACAGTTCCACAAAAGGTAAGGGATTTGAAGATCATCTGAAGTTCACATTAGAGGCAGAGCCAAAACCAAAATACAGGAGATAGAATTAAAGCCTGGGCTTGTTTTAGATCCAACATATTAACTCTGCCATCTCTTAACTCCAGCACTGAGCTGAGCTAAATACCTGTTTGTGGAATAGAATATTTAGTTTTTCAATATCTGGTCTTCAACACAGAATGTAAGGTCATTAATGACAGCTAGCAGGGCCTTTGCCTACTGTAACTAAGTAAAATCAGACATAAAACAGCAATTATATATTAGTAGGCACTCAATTTCAGTAGGCAGAGACCACCCCAAACAGAACAGGAATTAACATGAGGAATTACACGGGTGCTTGGGAAATTGGTGGAAGGACTGGAAGTCAGGGTTGCAGGTAGGCCTCCAGGAATGATGCCCATTGCACATCAGGGAAGACATCCCATCTCTCCCAACCATTTTCCAACATGGAAAATGAAGACACTGCCACTGGAACCACTGGTCCAAGCAAATGCCTGTGCAGATGAGATCCAGGATCAAGTAGCTAGTATCCAGAAGTCACTGGCACCCTCACCTCCAAAAATCTGGGCAATGGACACTGAACCATTTCTGGGGGAAGAAAAAACTATTTCATGACCAAACCTGCCATCAGAAATCAGCCCCAAAACAAGAAGATGTATCAGCCTCCCTCCACCTTCCAATTTCTGGAGAAAGAATCTCATTGTCTGGACCTAGTTTCACCCAGAATCTTACCTACAGGGATTTAAGTGTGGTTTGCTTTTAAAATGTTCTGATTTCTGTACTGGAAGTGCACTAAAATGTGGAGGGAATGAATACTGAGTATCACTTGATTCCATCCAGGCAATGGAATTCATTAATCCAGTTAGAGAATATTAGTATAAATTCACAAAAACTTGGAGCACTATAAAGAGAAATAGAACACCCCTGATTGATGAAAGTGGAATAAATGAGTGCAGTAAAACACTGCTAATGGAAGGGAACGGAAGGTGAAGCAACCACATTAGAGAGTATTTGACAGAATCAATTAAACATTTTAAAGTATGTAGCCTGTGACTCAGCAGTTTTCAAGTATCTTTTTCTAACCCAGGAAACACTTGCTCATGTGCACAAGGAGGCTCTTTAAAGATGTTGATTTTCAGATAGTTTATAGCAGCAAAAAATTTAGAAGTATCATAATATTCATCACTAGGTTAGTGAGTGGGTAAACTATGGAAAATCCTTCCTAGGGAATTCACTGTAGCAGTCAAAAAAATACCTAAGATAAGATGATATGTACTATAATTAAAGAATCTCTAGGATACATGTAGGGTAAAAAAAAAGTTTTAATATTAATGGTATGATGTGATTTACACACAATAAAAGAGAACAATCCAAAAAACAATGAACAAGTTATATGGGTACATAATTCAGCTACTGGAGAGACTTAGCCAACCCTGCGTGATAATTTATCAAAGAAATTGTCAGCCCCAGTTCCAAGGCTCTTGATTCCCTTGGACAGATCAAGGATACAAAAGATCAGAGTGATGAGAAAGAGGATTTGTGAGATCTCTTTGGGAGAGCTTCCCAGGAGATGGGAGAATTCCCATTACTTTCTACTGGGGTGGGTCTAAAACTGGGTGTGTGGTCCCACAGTCAGGGAGAGGACAGAATGGGTGGGTGTAACCTCAGCCCAGGATTTCTAAAGAGAGGAAAATGTCTAAATGCTTCGTGCTACAACTGAGAACGTCGATGCGTGAGAAGTAAAGGACAGGTGAGGGCATCTTTGGGCCCAAGGAGTCACTGCAAGAGTGCATGCTGGATTAACTCCCAGGAACCACCATCAGAGCAGGTGATCCAGGGGCTCAAACACATTGCATGAGGCCGAGGGGATCCTCCCAAGAGTGGGAGTATCTGACCCAAGAGATACTCAGTTCTTAGGGCTGCCTAATAAAGTACCAGCCACTAGGCTGCTTAATACAATAAAAGTGGATTGTCCCACAATTCTGGAGGCTAAATATCTGAGATCAAGTGGTCAGCAAGGCCCTCAGGTAGCATCTGTCCTTGCCCCTTTCCAGTTTCTGATGGTTGTCAACAAAATTTTGGTGTTGCTCGCTTTATGGCAAACTAACCAACCTCTGTCTCTGTCTTTGCAGGCCTCTTTCTCCTGAGTGTCTCCTCTGTGTTTTCACATCTCTCTCCATGTAAGAACACCATTTTGGACCCATTCTAACCCAGTCTGAGCTTATCTGAATTTGCTTATATCTGTAAACACCCTGTTTCTAAATAAGTTCCCATTCGCAGGTACTGAGGGTTAGGACATCAGCATATCTTTGGGGTGTGTGGGGTGGTACAGAATTCAAACCACAACACAAGGAAACTGACCAAAACTGGCAAGCCAGCTTTGAAAGCAGTCAGGACAAAAGCCCAAGCCCCAAACACACACACACACACACACACACACACACACACACACACGGGTGAAAACTGTCTAAACCCTCATCTTTCCTTCTGTCTCATGCCTTGGCCTTGGGAAGCAAGAGGGAGGAGGCAGGCACTAGCAAGAAAAAGAATAGGTGGTCACACACCCAAAGCAGACAACCACTAACAGGTTGTATTGGGAAAGAGAGATCCTCTCTTTGAATGAGGACTGAAGTGTTGATTATTATGTCAGACTACACATTTTTAAAAGCTTATTTTGGAACATTTCAAGCATAAACATAGGAGAAGAGAATAATGAATTCCCTATGTAGCCATGGCCTGCTTTCAGCAATGATCTTGAGCAATCTTCATATATTTATGAGCTACATTATTTTGAAGCAAATCCCAGATATTATATAATTTTATCCAGACATATTTCAACATGCATTTTCAACATTTCATTTTAAAAATGAAACATCGCTACAATATTATCACAGCCTCAAAATTGAAAAATAATCATTTAATATCATCATCTACTGAATGTTCAAATATCTCCATTTAACATACCTTCATATATTTAACAAATTTAAACATACCTTCATACATTTAACAAATTCTTCATATATTTTGTTTACCTGAGGGTCCTAAAAGATCTACATGTTGCCATGAGTTGCTAATTCATTGCAATGAGCTATTTCCTCCAAGTTACTTTTAATTTCTGAGCTTCTCCTCAATTTTTCTAAGAAAGTTGGTCTTTGTCCTTCAGTGTTTCCCACAAACTAAATAAGTTCAGCATAACGCAGTTCAAACAGGATCAAGTGTCAAAAGTTGTCAACATGGAAAGAACCAACCAGGAGAATGGAAAAAGGCTGAAAAGGAGCAAGATGTACCCGGGAAACCCTTTGCCCTCCCTCTGCAAGTTGTAAATATCATGTGCCTGGAGGAACTCATAGGCCAATCTGTTTCAGGGAGCCCATCCTGCAGTGTCGATGGGATGCGATTCAGAGGCTTGAGAAGTCACAGGCAAAATGAGAGAAGAGAATGTGCACAAGAATGGGGAAGAAAGTAGACAGCACGCAAAAGCTAAGGGAACAGCAGTAGAGTCAAGGCAGGCAGGCAGTGCTGACCCTCCTACCAGGCAAGCATCCCGAGCTTTGCCTGACGCCTTGAATTCTGAGGTCTTCCAGAAGTTAACAGAGCGACAACTGCCATGTTCTTGATGGACCATTGCTGCAGGCAGACCTTTGGATATATCACAGCAGCCCCGGAAGAACCTTTCCCTTGTTTTTACTATTGCCAAACAGAAAGTCTGTTTTGTGTAGGTGGCAGCAGAGGGCGCTCTCCTTACAGATTATTTTCTGTCAGAACTTGGCTTCTCAAAGGAAAACAGCTGTTAAAACGTCTTTGTGAGGGCCAGGTAAAAGACAAAACTTGCAAGTTGGCACTAGATCTGAGGCGTATAGCAGGTGAAGAGGAGGGAGAGGGGTCAAACCAGGGGAGAGAAAATCACGATGGTGATAGATCTCGGGTGCTGTGTAAGTGCTCTCACAACTACCTGGTGCTGGATGAACTGCACTACACCTGAGGGGAGAAATCAAATACAGTCCAAAACTAAAAACGATGTAAGAAAATAAATATTAAAAAATGTCTTTGTGACTGTTAACAAGTTTATAGCTCCTAAATATGTGCATATAGTTTATGCAATAATCATGTATTTCTGTGAGAATGCATGAAGTTATTTATTTACTCTAAATACATATATGTTATGCACATAAATATATTTACATTTACATGTTTATATATAACTATATACTATTATGTAAATTTATAAATACATTTCATATAAGTATATATTTAGAATATGTTTGTTAAATATATAAATAAATGCATATTGATATATATTTTAATTATATATATTCAGAAAGAGCCATATATAAAGTTGTTATAAAACACAACCATATAGGGCCTCCCTGGTGGTGCAAGGGGTTAAGCACTGCACTGTGAAGCAATCAGCCTCTGCAGCACGAGTTTGATCCCCAGTTGGCCAGGGAGAAACCCACATGGTGAAGAAGACCTCTCCTGTCTTGTCCACTGCTCCCCTCAGCAGTGTATTTTAGTCAGTCTGCCTGTTCTGTTCCCCACTCTGTCTCTGGTGAATCCTCTCATTCCCTCCCCCCGCCACACACACACCCCCCTCTGGCCTATACCCCAGTTCTTGTATGCATAGATAAAATCTTTTAAAAAAAAACAACACAAGCATATATATGTGCATATATACAAGCACATGTTACTCTATGTTTTCTCCCCTATCTATTAATATTGAAACTGCATGTGATTGTTTCCTTGAATAATTACTTTTTTTTCTCTCAAGCATACTAACATTCTGTTTCATACTAAAAGCTTTTAATCTTGAGCTCAGAAAGTTGAGACTTTGAGATACTGTGCTTGCACTGTCCAGTTTATGAGCTTTCCCTTGGGGTCCTCTCTGGAGGATGATAAGCCCTTTTAGGAGCATGACGGGAGCAAAGGAGGTTGATCTAGTTCCTCGTGTGACTGTGTACTCTGCTATGGATGGGCTGCAGACTGCTCCAGCACGCCTTCCTCTTTGTCTCCCCTCCTCTCCAGGCGGCTACCCCTCCAAGCCTTTCTTCACTAGTCCATGCTTCTGTTGTTCTCCCCCACCCCCATCTCCCAGGTCATGGGCATCACTGTCTAGCTACACTCCTGGTCACCAGCCTCCAGGATGGCCCCCGTGACCCCTGCTTACCAGGTATATGCATCCTCATGTCTCCTGCCCTGCTGCCTGGGGCATGGCTGATTGACCACTGGGATATTGTGAGAGCGTTGGTGTCTGACTCACAAAGTCAAAGCCACAAAAGACACGTGGCTTCCACTTTCCTCTTTCTTGGCTCACTTAGCCACAATGGATCACTCCCACATTGTGAGGAAACAAGCATTCCATGGAGAGTCTGTGACTTTTGGAACTGAGCGTTCCTGACAACTACCTGCAGGGCCTTGCCAGGCAGGAGCGGGCCACCCTGGCAGACACTCCTCCCACCCCAACAGGGCTCCAGAAAACTGCCGCCCTGGTGCACATCTTGAGCCAGAGCTACCCAACTAAGTCTGCTCTGAATTCCAGGCCCATATAAGTTGTGTGATAATAAGTTCTTATTGTTTTGAGACACTACGTTTGGGGTAATTTGTTACAAAGCCACAGAAACAAATACTCCTTTCATCATGCCTGTGACATGTTTACCATTATGTCTTTGTGGTTTTACTGCTGTGATTAACCCCCTCCGATGCTTCATCCTTAATTTTAGGATAAAATCTCAATCCCTTGATACAGCCTCTGTTCTTCCATGATCTGACTTCCAAGATTGAGCCTCCTTTCTTAGCCCCTCTCTTTGCAGCTGGACTGAACATACCCCTCTCCCTCAATGTGGAGGATAAAATTGACAAAAATGTAGGATGCCCGGGTCAATTTGAATTTCAGGTAAACAATGAATAGTTTTTGTTGTTATACAATATATAGCATGGCACATAGTTATTCTAAATAGTTCTCTATTGTTTATCTGAAATTCAAATAAACAGGGTATTCTGTATTTTTGAGTACTAAATCTGGCAACTCTGCTGATATGAAAAGATTTCTTTCAGCTCCTGCTCATCCTCCTGCCTGGATCACCACAGCTGTCTTTTTTTAAATTCCTTCCCTGCAAGATTTGACCCAACCTGTACCTCCTCTAGAGAGCCTATGGCTAACTGCCTCTACCGCACTTGCACCTGGGATGGGTTAGATGTGACTGCTGCAGGCGCCACCCGATCCTGTCACACATTTTTCATATCACATAAATTATAGCGATTCATTTACCTGTCTCTGAACTAGACTTTAAACTTCTTGAGATCAGGCAGTTATTCACTGGATAGCTTCTGTGCCCAAACCAGCACAACTGTGGCTTACAATTATTGAGTCCTTACTGTCAACTAGCCACTATTGTAAACTCTTTGCATATGTAAACTCATTGAACCCTCACATCACTCCAAAGAAGGTGCTACTAATGTACTTTTTACTTGTGGGAAAATTAAGGCATGAAGAGGTTATGCAATATCCCCAATGTTGCTCAACAGTAGCAGAGAGGCTAGAGTTCAAGTCCAGGAGTCTGATTCCAGAACCCACCTCCTAAAGATGAGCCAGGGGCATTGCCTCACTCTGATGTTTAGGAGTGTTTATTGAAGGCACCTAAGAATGAATTATGTAGCTAAGTGCTTCAAACTTGATAACTGCCTTCAATCAGGATAAACATGGTACACTCTCCTCGCTCCAGTCACCAGTACCTAGCATAAAGCATGGTCCTTTCCTCATGCATGACTGGCAAAGATTCATTTTGGCCTGTTTTTCTCCTCTCCAAATTCTGACCACAAATCCAGGGTACCACAGTGCACCTTGCTTCCATAACGAAAAATGGACATGGCACTTGCTTTAGAAATAGAACCTCATCAAGCTCTGTGGCCAACAGGGTGAGTTCTAGAGGAAAACTTCCTGGGCTACCATCTCAGCTTGAATGCTTAATAGCTGTGTGTCCTTGAATGAGGTCTTGAGAGGGAAATGGAGATGATCATAGTTTTTGATGCATAGGGTGGTACTCAGGATTAAGTGAATTTAAACAAAAAAAGACAAGTGCAGAGTCTGGCATATTGCATGTACTCGATAAATGTCAGCTATTATAATTGTAAATATTATTCTGTTCAACCCAAAGACAAGAGCACATGGGCCTGGCACCTCCATGGATTTCTGTGACATCTTCATCTGTCTTCCCCTGTGCAGAACCTAAAGAGGTAGGTCTGTAGTAATATCCTCTGGGGCTGAAGGTCCAGAGGTAGAGATTCAAATTAAAACAAAATCAGAGGAGAAAAGTTGTCCCCACAGCCAGAGACCTGCTAGAATGAAGCAGAAGTAACCCAGTGACCCTCACTTCCTGCCTCAAGTGTGGAACTGGAAGGCTGGTGCCCATACTCAGATCATGAAGCAGCTTTGCTTTTGGACAGTTGTCCCGAAGAAGCCATCACATCCTCCAGGAAATGATTCACATTCATTGTCAGGCACTGCAGCCAGCTGACCCTGCGTATCTCAACAGCACCTGCTGGCAGGAGCATTCTGCTTCACAAGTGATCAGAAATACACAAGAACCTTGGTGTCTTCTCAGAGAGGGTTCTTCTACAGTGACTTTATATAGAAGTGGACATATAAAATTGATGGATCGTATTTTTGAGTACTTACTACATGTTGGACACTGTGATAAGTGCTTTCCATGTGTTTCTTTACTTCACTCCCCCTCAGTGCTATATGGTTTGGTAGCTTTGTTGAATTTTTATTACAGGTAAGGAAACTCAGTAATTTGCTCAAGCCATACTGCATCTAAGAAGAGAACCAGATCTTGAATTCCATGCTAAGGAATGAAAAATCTACTCTTCAGTTACCTCAGGGCCTCTGATATGGGACTGGGCCAACACCTGTGGCAGACTCTTATGACAATACACTATAGCAAATACTCTGAACTACATTTTAGAATCTGTGATCTGGACTTTACAATCACATGAAAAGCTGATTCATTGGACCAAATGAATTAAATTTTCTAGAAGGTAAAAACAAACCAGTGGATGTTTTACAAGATTTCTCTGGATTAATCCAACAGGCAGGTATAATTGAGAACCACTCCCCATGGACTAGCCTATGCTTATATTAAACTTTAGAAGCAAATATAAAAAGAAAAGAAATTTTCTTTAAAAAGAAATTTCTAAGATTCGTATCAGAAATCCATTCAGAATAATGTCTGCTCCTTCATCTCCAAGAAACAATCTCTGAGCAAATTGTAAAGGTGAAGAAACAGCTTCGGAACATTCTGTTGCTCATCTTTGATGCATATATTTTAGGATTGATTGCTTCACTTTAACGCAGAGATAAGTGCCTCCCTAAGGCTCTAAGGGAAAACTTTCCCTGGGTACCAATCCTGCACTTGAGTGAACCTGACAATGAGCACCTCCTTAAATGTTGCACCTTAGGCACTACCCAGTTCACCCTACTCCTTTTCATGGCAGATCTTGTCTGCAACTATTCTGTTATGTATAAGACAATAGGAAAAAATTAAGTGGTCCACAACAATGTATAAAAGTAGCAATCTATGTTTATATATAATATACGTTTATATAGCACTTCTACCTATTTTAGTTCTTTATTTACAAGCAACAGAAGCCAACTCTGGCCAAGAAAGTGAATTGTTAAACATATGGAATAGGTCACAATATCCAAGGAAAAGCAATTACCTCAGAAAACACAGAAACTAGGGTGCCTCCAAGGATCAAGGGTATAGAAACATTTCAGGAAACCACCTTTGTGAGGTTGGATTCTGTCATTTTAGGATATTAGTCCCTTTTCTCGATTCGAGTTCATGGTGAGAAGTTCTATTTGGGTCATGTGACTACCTTGGGCACCTTGATTGACAGTTTCAAGAATACCATATCCAGTAGGATAGTTTCCCAAAGCAAAACGGGCATGTAGTCACAGGAGAGGGGATGGAGAGTTGGCAGGTAAAACCAGATGTTCGCTCTAGGACTGTGTCATTTTCAGAGTGTTGGTATCTATAATATCTTATAGGACTGTTGATGTATAGGGCATGCACATTCCAGGGAAAGTTATCTCCTGACTCTGCCACTTCCCTAATGTTAATGACAAGTACTTTGCAGGTTTATGAAGCACTGTAACTATATAGTGTATCATTATAACCTACTTCCTGAGAAATGTGGGCTTGCCAACTAGAGAGATGCCCATACAACATGCCTACCACTAGGTGAGCAGGAACAAAACAAGGAGGAAATGCAGTCAGACTGGACCTTCAAGTTAGCTCCTATTTTAGTCACTATCATTTACATCTTGTCAAGCATTTCAGGTCATACCATTCTAGCCATAAGTCATACACCAATTGACAGCACAGCTACATATTGATAATATAGCCCTGGGGCCAAATTGCCTGGGGTCAAACCTTAGCTCTGTTATTTACTTGCTATAACTTAAAGATGTTTAACTCCCTGCTTAATGATCTTATCCATAAAACAAGGGTGACAATAAAACAGCACCTACCATACAGCAGTGCTATAAACATTAAGAGTCAATGTATATAAAACTCATAGTAAGTACTTCCAAATGTTTGGCTATTCTTTCTCCCCCCCCATTTTATTTATTATATATATTTATATTATATATAATAATTTATATTTTATATATATATACACACACATTACATCATAGTTCATTTTTGTACAATGCTTGCTTTCTTTTCTCAGGTGTAGTCCCAAAGAATTCCCACCGCTGATTCACCTGTTTGACTATTCTTTTTTTTATTTTAAAGATTTATTTATTTATGCATACAAGAACTGAGGTACGGGCCAGAGATGTGGGAGGGTGAGAGGATTCACCAGAGACAGAGCGGGGAACAGAACAGGCAGACTGACTGAAATACACTGCTGAGGGGAGCAGAGGGTGAGACAGGAGAGGTCTGCCGCGCCATTTGGGAATCTCCCTGGTCCAGGATCGAATTTGTGCTGCAGAGGCTGCAGACAGCCTCATAGGTTGTGTTCCAACCTCTTGCGCCACCAGGGAGGCCCTGTTTGGCTATTCTTAATATACCATGATTTCATAGTCCTTATTAATGGAAACAGCTTCTACAACATGATAACAGATAGCTTATTCTCATTTAAAAAGTGTGAATCTGCTTTGGATTAGGTCCTTTGTCCAGGTCACATAATGGAGTTCTCTGGCAGTGAGTGGGGTCTGGATTTGAATGATTCTTCTCCAGTTGCTCTTTGTTCACCTTTCCCCCCACAGCAGAGCTTGAAC